TCCAGCAACAAAATGAACAGAGGATCACCTCCTACTTTCCTGCTTTTTTAATCCTGGCTGTTATTTCCTTAGTTGTGAGACATAAAGCAAGGTTCTGGCACTACACCCCACTGTGCTTCAGTTTCATCATTTATAAAGTACAGTAGTACTATACAGTATTTACTTCATAGGGCTGACGATTAAGATGATACAAATGAAGTGCTTAGAATAGGTCTTTTTACATAGCAAAAGAATACATTTTAACCAAAAAGCCTAGCTTTTAAAATTACTTAGGCCAGCCATGGTGGTATACACCCATAATCCCAGCCTGTACGAAGCTGAAGCAGGAGGAGCACCAAGAGGCCAGCCCCAACTACATAACGGAAGTGTAGTTTGAGAGCTTGTTTGGAGGCTCTAGCAGGGCAGCGCAGCTACTCGTATACCCTTGACCCAGGAAATGGTCCTCTCCTCTATGGGTCCTCCTCGGGGTGGTCATCCTCTTTGACTGAGAGCAGAGCTTTGGCAGGGACACACATGGAGTGGTGAGAGGAAGGGAACACTCGCCTAGCCAGATCAGCCGAAACAACCCTGGCGATTAATGGTAGTGTAGTTTGAAGCCAACCTGAACTACATAGTGAGATCCTGGCTCAAACAATGAATAATAAATACATACTAAATAAATAAAATTTGAAAAAATAATTTTAAAATAAAATTAATCTTTGCAGTGCTGGGAAATGAATGCACAGAGCCTTTCATATGCTATTTAACTCCAGCCCCAAAAGTCTAGTTTTAAAAGACATTTACCCTAGGTTTGATTTACATGTTATGTAAATTAACTTTCAAAAACTACTCAACCATAGCTCACAACTACCTGTATTTTAAAGGTTTACTATTTCCCTAAATGAGAGCAAAGTTAAACTGGGGGTAGTCTAAGAAAGTTATAAGCTGAAATATAAAGGACCCTGATAAATCTTATTACTGGATAAAACTATTTTTGTTTAAATGGCATATTTCTCTAGTACATTTGCACTGTTCCATCTGTCCCACAGGCTACAAGGTGTTTTGAGACAGCCTAATAACCACTAAGTGATAATATGGTGTAGTAGAGACTTTGATGAAGTAAATGGTCATTAGCTTGACCCTTTTCCTGCCACTCCCAGGAGGCAGGACAGCTGAGTTTCAGGACAATCCAAGAAATTCCCTTTCAACTAGGGCAGGGCTTTAACTGTCCAGATCAAAACCCTAAAATGTTCTAGCCTCTCCCTTAAATTTGACCCAAATCCCTGGATTAGCTAACATTGAATCCATTTGAGTAGCTGGAGCTGGAAGCTTACTACCTTCAAATCTTTTTATCAAATTTTGACACTACCCAATTTCCCTCTAATCACAACTGTTTGTCAGAACTGAATCTTAAGAAGGTTCCCCAATGTCCTAAATACTTAATCCTCTGCCAGTATAAACCTGTAATCCTTCCCCAATAACACTGTATTTAGCCCAAATAAAGACAGCCTAAGTTAGGGCCAACAGCACAACCATTTCACCCTCACCCTTGAAGCTTGTTCCTTTTTTTTTCCAAAATCTTTGCATTCTAGTTAATTGTGCAGGGACTTCATACTGTGAGAATAGAGCTTGCATCTGACTCACTCTGCTTATTCCCCAGATTTAATCACAGCAGTGTCTAGAGCAAATCTACACCCCTGTTATCACAGATCAAGAGTACTGCAACCTCCACTCAACATTCTTCAGCTGGCTTGGAGTGAAACCTACCTTCTGGGGGTCACTCAAGTGGCCTTAAAAAAAGCCAATTCATAGCCGGAATTTAGCTCAGTGGCACCAGGTCCTGAGTTCTGTCCCCCACTACCAAAAAACAAACAAAAAAGCCAATCCAATCCGGTAGCCTTTCTCTCTTCATCTTGAACACTGTCTTTGGAAAATGTGTATGATGGAGTAACTATAAAGAGCTCCATGAAATTGGGGTGGAAACAAAACTGGGTGAAGTGGAAGAAATTTGTACGAGACTCTACAGCCAAGTCAAAGTAGCAAAGGAAAATTTAGAAGACAGCCTTCAGGCTCACTTTATGCGCTCTTAGAAGAGTCAGTGATTTCCCCAGATGGTATTAAAACCCTTGGGTAGTTTACAAAATAAAATGAAATTCTTCAGGCCAGCAGTATTGGCTTCTATAATAACACCAAAACCTTATAACTTTAAAAATGCTTTTGTATAGGGGCCGAGGATTTAGCTCAGTGGGTACAGCCGCCTGCCTTGAAAATGCAAGGTCCTGAGTTTGAGGCCCAGTACCATTAAAAAAAAAGCGCTTTTATACACATTTCCTTTGGTCTCCATACATCAGTCCATGAAGAGAGAACAGAATGATTAGTCCTAAGCCGGGAGTGGTGGCACATGCCTGTAATTCCAGCACTCA